CTAGACAGATATTTGAATTGTTTCTAATATCTAGCTTCTACAAATTGAGCCACAGAGAAACTCCTTGTATTTCCTGAGTATACATGTTAAGTATGTATTTTTGAATTTGTTACAAGAAATGCTTTCCTACTCCCAAGATCAAAACCATTTTTTGTACACTGGCTTTTAGTAATGCTGTCTTTGTTCTCATGATTTTTACTTTTCTGTATAATCCATGACCTATTCTTAGATAACAATTAACTCCAAATAATTAAAAAAATTTTTTTCCTCTTCTCCTAATGCCATCTTTTTCGTTTTCTAAATTCAAATAAATACATAGGTCTTTCTAGAATCTCTTCTGCTTTGCTGAATCACTATCACAGAGGTTTATTACTTGCATATGATCATATGTGTTTTTGTTTCTTCATTTTTAGTACTTGTAATCTTTCTTATACTGGCAAAGATCACCAGATTTATCTTATTTATTTATTTATTTATTTATATTTTTTAATTGTTCATTTTCCTTATTTTTATTTGTTCTTTTATGTTATTTCTATGTATTTCATTAATTTTTCCCCATAATTATATTGATAAACAAATAGCAATGAGACAGTTTCAAAGCAAATTGGTAGGACAGTTTCAATAATTCACACATTGTATACATTCTTCCTAGTGGTTAATTGCTGTACAAGAGGCGGGCATGATATCCTATTTACAAACACCAGTAGAACAAATCCCGCTATTCATTAAGAGAATGTAACTATATATCTATCCTAACCACTTTGAATACACAGATACAAAATGGACATTCATCTGTATACCCTTTTTTTGTTAAGTTCCATTATTTGAATATTATAGGTGTGTAAACTCAGTAAAATATTCTAAAAGAGTCCAGTAGCCCATAATAGTATTGGGTCTTCCGCTTCACTGGCAATGTCAGAAATTGTTGACCTGAGTCCCCTATAGCTCAACATAACAGCATGGCTTTACTTCTTATATTTCGTTTCTATACTTTTCTTCTAGATGGTTAAGACCAAGGTAAAGCAGGACCTATGAAACAAGAGTTGTAGCTTTTGGGTCTGATAAGGTCAGTGAAATCCCCTCAGGAGTTATCCTGAGATCCTGTACCTCAGACTGTAGAACCTTTGTCAGTGTCAGCCATGTAGACGAGTCATTGCCATTGCTTGGCCAATGGGCTCTCTGTGAAAGCCTGAGAGAATGTTTTCTCTCCATGTGACTCTCCTTAGGCACACTCTACATCATCAGTCACTTTCCTCTTTGGCCCCATAATCTCCTTGATCAGAAAATTTGGGACACTACTGAGTTACATGATGTTACAGTACATGTTCTCATATGTCCTGAGTCTTAATTGACCTTAGAAGGCTAGGACCAAAATGTTGGCTTTCCTTGCAGCCCTCCTTTTTCTCTAATTTTGGTCTGCAAACTTAGCTTGTTAACCATCCAGAAGAGAAGCTTATTGTTATTACCATACAACCTAAGCTGTTAAGCTTAACCTCACTATCTGTCTGCATATCAAACATCTTAGGCATAATATGGAACAGGTATTTTTCATCAAGTATTGATATGTTGAACTTTAAGTCCCTACAGAATATGATGAAAAAACATTTAAAAATTAGAATATATTTTAAAAATAGGCATAAAGAATTATATACTTCTTATGTTATTTTATTTATTTATTTATCTTTTGGTGGAACTGGGGGTTGAACTCAGGCCCTTGTACTTGCCAGGCAAGTGCTTATTTTACTGAGCCATCTCCTCTGTCCCCAGTTGCCAGATTTGTGCTGAGTTTAGAAACAATCCTTTATTTGCTGCTTCCAATTTTAGGGAAATGCATCTAAAGTCAGTGTTGCTTTTAATATAGTTCTTTTTTGCTTGGGCACAGTCTTTTTATCATACGAATATCTTTTTCTTCAGTACAAACTACTGGTGTCCTCTAAAGTCTTAGCATTTGTTTAAAAGTTCATCTTATTCAGAATTCGCTACCTCAAAATATTTCTGTTGCACTGTGAGATACAAATTCCTGGTCACATTTTCCCATTCTGAAGCTATTTACAGGTCTTAATGAGTGTGGGTTTTCTGATGTCTAATGCGGTGTGACTTCTGGCAGAAAGCTTTTCCACATTCACTACATTGATAAGGCTTCTTACCTGTGTGTATTCTCAAATGCAGGGCTAGAGTTGAGAACTGTGCGAAAGCTTTCCCACATATATTACAACCATAGGGCTTCTCATCTGTATGGCTTCTTACATGCATTGAGAGAGAATAACTCTGAGAGAAGGCTTTTCCACATACATTGCATTCCTAAAGTTTATCACCTGATTTGAATTCACACATGTACAATAAGCAATATTTGTTGAGAAAAGGCTTTTCCACATTCATTACATTCATAAGGTTTCTCTCTGGTGTGAATGTTTTGATGCTTTATGAGATACTTTTTCTGGCCAAAAGCTGTTCCACATTAATTACATTTAAAGGGTTTCTTTCCAGTATGAATTTTCTCAGTAAGATTTGATTTGCCACTAAAGGTTTTCCCACACTGTTTACATATGAAGGGCTTCTCTCCGGTGTGAGTTCTCTGGTGTCTGATGAGGTTTGACTTCTGAATGATAGCTTTCCAACAATCTTTACACTCAAAAGTTTTCTCTCCAGCTTGAATTTTCTGATGGATAAGGAGGTTCTCTTTCTGGCTGAAGGATTTTCCACAATCATTACATTCAGAAAGCTTTTCTCCAATATGGGTGTGTTGATGTTTAATGACATACTGTTTTTGGCTAGAGGCTTTCCCACATTCATTAAATTCAAAAGATTTCTCTCTAGTATGAAAATGTTCATGTTCAGTGAGATTGGGTTTGTGGCTGAAGATTTTCCCACATACCCTACAGGCAAAGGGGGCTCCCCTATTACAATTTCTCTGATGACTGAGGTGCGACATTGGAATGGAAACTTCCCCACATTCACAAGATTGCTCTTCAGTATAAATTTTCTGATGAATGAGGATTTACCTTTGGCTGAAGATATTTCCACATTTCTTACATTTATAAAACTTCTATAAAAAATTAAAAAAAAATAAAATGTCTGTATATGACTTCTCAAATGCAGGACAAGGGATAAAGTTTGAGAGATAATTTTGCCCTCAGCACCACAATCAAACTTTTCTCTCCAGTATGAAGTTCTAATATTCAATGAGAGTATGCTATATTCACTGATTTCTTTCCAGTAGGAATTTTCTGCTGTTCATTGAGATCTGTCATCTAGTTAATGGCTTTTCAATTATTCCTTAAAAGCACAGAGTGTCTCTTTAGCATGACTTTTCCATTCAATGAGACATGTAAATAAATGTTCACCCACATTCAGTAAATTTATAGGATTTCTCTCAGGTAAGGAATGTTCTGCTATCAGACAGAGTACAAAAGGATTTCTACATTGACTTACAAGGGCTATTATCACGAGGAGTAAGCTCTGGTAGAGGACTTCCAAATTAATAAAACTGGTGATTCTTTTCTACACAGCTTCCCTCATAATTATATCTAAATTAACTTTTGAAATCAAAATTTCAAAAAGGTGTTGCCTTAAGAGAAATAAGGTCTGTGAGAAAAGGAGGGGTTTTTCTAGTTTTTCTTATAGTCACTTTTTTCTCATCAGTGTTTATTGCCGATGGACGCAACTTGCTTCCCAAGTCTTGATGGTTCTTTATCTGCACATTATCTTCTCAGGATTATCCTAGCAAGACTCCACATCTTTCTCCACCATCCAGTTTGTCTTCTTTGATGGAAAATCACATCCAGTTTGGTCTCTTTAAAATCTACTACTGGGGAAAATGACACAGCACTAAACTTATTGCTGTGACTAAAGTACCATTCTAGAATTGAGGATGAGCCCTCTGGGACCCTGGGGCCATCTGAAGGATGAGAGATGCCTAAGGAAGTTGCCCTCCTACTTTCACGCCATTTGTACTGAGAGGCTGTACCAACCCATGGATAAAGACCAAAATGTCACCTCTATTATTTTTCTAAGGTGCCTTTATAGTAAAATTTTCTCAAATGCCCCTTAATCACACCTGTGATGTATATGGGGGCTGCTGAGGCCCCTTGTTTACCCTTTCCCCACTAAGGAAGAAAAACTAACCCCTTCTTGATTCAGGGCTAATTTTGAAAAGGTAGAGGTTGTGTGCTTATTTTGCTTCTTCATGTTACCACGAATCTCTGTGCTCGGCAATGGTTTTTCCATGTTCCCACTTCGCTCGAGCCCTTTGCCTCAAATGTTCCAGTCAAGTGGTTATTTTTCCATGTTTCGAAGGGAAATTTGACATAGACCTTTAATCATCTATCTTGGTGACTTCACTTCTGTAGAAGTATTAGTTTAGATTATAGTAAGCTAAGTATGTATATTATGATTTCTAAAGGCACAACCAAAAGAAAAAGATAAAATATAATAAATATTTGCTTAATCACAAAAATTCAGTAAAAGGGGAGAAAAAGAACAAAAAACATACAAGAAAATTAGAGACTGAGAGAAAGATGACAGGCTTAGTTCAAAATATATGAGTAATTACAAAAACATAAATGAATTAAGTTGTTCATTTAAAACACTGTTGTCAAACTTGTTAAAAATTTTTATAGAGAAACTCAACTTGTAAACATACAACTTACGAGACTCACATGTTGACTATAAAGCCTGAGAGGTGGAGAGAATAAAAGGACGAAAACAAAAGGACTGTTAAGTTGAAAGTATAAAAAGACAGGACTATCATACAATCAGTAACAGAAGCAAAAACAAAGTCAAACACCATTCAGTGTAGCTAAAAGAAAAGCAGACTTTATGACAGGAATGTAAGGGAAAAAGGAACAATTCAACGGAAAGATGCAGCGCTAAATTTTTATTCATGTCAGAACATAGCTTCAAAACGTACTGAAACAAATTGAATGATTGCTGTAGTATTCTTTTTTGAGGAAAGTGCCTAGAGACCCTTAATGGGATCATGATCGGTATCTTTATCACAGGCTTTCTACGGTCTCTGCTGCCCCCCTGGCCAAAACAGACTCTTGGCCAAAAGACGTGGGCATCCTTGAGTTGGAGGTCTACTTCCCAGCCCAATATGTAGACCAAACTGACCTGGAGAAATACAACAACGTGGAAGCAGGAAAGTACACAGTGGGCTTGGGGCAGACCCAGATGGGCTTCTGCTCCGTCCAGGAGGACATCAACTCCCTGTGCCTCACGGTGGTGCAGCGGCTGATGGAGCGCACCAAGCTGCCGTGGGACTCTGTGGGCCGACTGGAAGTGGGCACCGAGACCATCATCGACAAGTCCAAAGCTGTCAAAACGGTGCTCATGGAGCTCTTCCAGGACTCGGGCAACACCGACATTGAGGGCATAGACACCACCAACGCATGCTATGGAGGCACTGCTTCCCTCTTCAATGCGGCCAACTGGATGGAGTCCAGCTACTGGGATGGTACGTGCTGTCATGATGCAAGCAAAGAGCTGGGGTCAGAGGCTGAGTCCTGAAAGTTTTGCTTTTTAGTTTACCAGGGTTGTGCCTTTCTGCTCCAGGGGGCCGGTAAAATGATTGAATGCAATAATCCATAAGACTTAAAAGACAATAATGTGGCTGTCTATGTACTGTACGTTTAGTAAGCTCAAGTCTGAGTGCGCCTATGTAATCCCAGCTACTTAGGTTGAAAAGGAAAGGGGAAAGTTTGAACCCAACCTGGGCAACTTAGTGAGACCCTGTCTCAAAACAAAAATTAGAAAGGCCTGAGAAGGTGTCTCAGTGGTGCAACTCTCCTGGCTTCTGTCCTCAGTACAAGGCCAGGTGGGAGGAACCTAAGGCTGAAAATATGGAAACCATAGTAAACATTAGTTATAAAATTAATCATAAAGTTTAATGTTATAGCAACCTGAGAGATTTCTTAATATTGCTTAAAAAGGGTGGGTGTGGCACACAAGAGAACTCTATCTCTAGACACACAATAAGACAATGCACTCTATAGACTCCTTAATTGTTCTCACTTGCTTCTATATGGGGAGGTCCCTGGTGTGGTGGTTTAAGGTTATGCCTCTGGGAACAGATAATCTGAGCTCATCTGCCTTATATAGCTTTCACTGTTAAGTGATCCCTTTCATGGTGAATGTCACAGTCTCTGTATCATCAGATCTGTCTTCATAAAAATTCTCCTACTTGGCATTTGCATTATTTTTAGTAATCCCTACTACTATTAACCAATTTGTTCAACCAAGTGTTTAGTTAAAGAGTAGAAAGGGAAGTCAAGGGACATCTACCAGCCTTTATCCAGCCACCAGAGGGCTTGTTCTTGGGATCACTGCTAGCTGTAAGTGTGTCACTTCAAGAGTCAGTTCTGGGTGTAGCTGCGTATCCCGAAAGACAGAGCCTGTAGACACACATTTCTTTAACATGACTTGCTTTCATGGCTGTGTGCCTAGTTCTTGGAATAAAAATTAAAAAAAAAAACAAATTATTAAACTGTGGACCTTTTAGTATATGGAACAAAATGAAACAAAACAAAGCAAAACATATCGAAGCTTGAGCCAGAACACCTGAACTGAACACCTACAGGCCAGAAGAAACTCACGTGGAGGAGGTCTCTGCCTTTGACCTAGTGACAGGTGGTGGGAGTCAGAGGGAGCCCTGGAGCATCCCAGAGAAGACAGCACAGTGTGAGGGAAGCAAGGTGTGGAACTGGCCAGGAGTCCCCATGTTCCCCTGTCTTTTTAAAAAGGAAAGTTATTGGGCCGCGGAGGTAGCTCAGTTATCTAAGCACCTCTCTGGCAAGCACAAGGACCCAGGTTTGATCCCCAGTACTGCATGCTGTGCCGGCCACCAAGAAGGGTGTCCCAGCACTGGGGAGTCTAAAATAGGAGGATCACTATGAGTTCAAGCTGCATAGTGAGACCCTGTACCAAATACATAAAATTAAAAAAAAGGAAAGTTACTGAAGTTTATAGTTGAGAGTCAGAACATATTCATACATTAAAGGACTTAAAATGAAGGAAAAGTCTCCTTTTCACACTCTATTGCATTAATAATTTCCATGTATTCTTTCAAAATTTTTTATGTACCTGCAAGTGTATGCATATCTATTTAGTTTTAAACATTGTGCATACAATTCTTCATCTCTCATCTCTTACAGGTCATTTTATTTATTTATTTACTTATTTATTTATTTGTACTTTAGGGAAGGGTCTACAGGGTGTTCAGTGTCTCACTACTAGATTGAACTCATAGTGATCTGCCTGTTTACAGCCTCCCAAGAGCTGGGATTACAGGCGCGCGCCACCACGCCCAGTCTCAGTTGCCATCTCAGCAGACCCCGGGGACAGGGCCGGCATGGCAGGCCCTTTTAGAGATCATTTTATATCACCATATATTAAACTTACATCATTCTTTTTAAAAACTCAAATAATATTTTAATGATAGATATGTCAATTTTATTTAATTAGTTTCATATTTGTAGATAGTTAGATCATAATACTTTTGTAGTTATAGAGTACATTTGAAGGAACATTTTACAATAGTTTTGCATGCTTGTGACAATGTGTTGTAAATATAGAATCCTAGGAACAGAATTGTAGAATATGTTGATTTCAATATTTTATAATTTCTCCAAAATGTACTAAATTGTATTACTATAATAGATATTACCAAATCTTATAACTTTTGTCGATTTAATAAGTAAAATAATAGTGTTTTGATTTGCCTTTTAAGAAAGCTTGAATTTTTTAGTTGTCTATTGGCCATTTTTGTATCACATAGGTGAAATTTCAGACTTTTAAAAATGAATGGAAATAGTTTTTTTATTGGATATAAGGACAATAAATAAGTCTTAGTTTTTCTTTTGACCTCATATAATGTTTTGATTTTTAGATAGCCAAATTCATTGATATTTTTCTAAATGGCTGCTAAGTACTTTTCTTTGTATCTAAACTTTTTAAAATGTGAGTTAAAATACATATATGTACATACATACTTATATATACATATATACACACAGAATTATTATTTATCCCACAGTTATACATACACACATTCATACATGTACACACACATGAGTGGCAATGGGTGAAAATAATAGTTTTTTGTTTTGGTTGTTTTAATTCTTAAGACAAGTTCTTTGTGCATCAATAGACTTGGATTAGAATCCTGATTTTCAATATTTATCCTATCATTTTTTAAGTATGTAGTTTTGGGCGAGTGACTTAAGTTTCTTGTGGTTCAATTTCTTCATCTGAAGAGAGGATAACTGTATTGCTGTACAAGCTTATGAGGAGGATTAAATTACATGGAATTTGGCTTCCAACTCAGGGCCATGGGAGAGCACTGGGCTTTCTCACAGACTGATCCAATGCATAAATCACCTTTGTCTAGCTCCCGGGGCTCAAGTTTTAAGGACAGTACTTTGATCAGTAAGCCAATTAGTCAAGACAATTACTTATTAATAGTCTGTAGGAGCGCTAGTTGCTATCAGTGATTTGTATCACGTGTAGCTCCTGAACATAAACTTTTTCACAATGAAAGCAATACCAGGGAATTTGAGGCACTTGGTTTAGAGCCCAGCCAGAGCTGGGTTTGAATCACAAGCTCCAAAATTACTACATATGTGACCCTAACGAATTCCTTAGTCTGTCAGGAAGCCAGTGGCTTCATCCATGAATGTGGACATTTACTACCAAACTGCACTGGTTTACGGCTTGTCTGAGGACAAGTAGCATCTGGCTCCTATCTTAAATGTTGTTAAATAATAAAATGTTATTCCTCCACCTTCCTTGGTTTGGAAGAAACTCAAGATCATGGAGTGCTATAAGGTGATTGGCAAGAACAAAAAAAAAGGCTCATGAACGAGTTTTTATTGAATTCAGAAATTAAATTCTGAGTAAATGAATATTTTGCAACTAGAATGTGAGCATTAAAAAAAAAAAAAAAAAAAAAGACTGGGAATGGTAGTGTGCGCCTGTAATCCCAGCACGTGGGAGGCAGAAAACAGGAGGACCAGTATGAGGACAATCTGTGCAGCAAGACCCTGTAGACCCTGCACTAGATACATAAAAACAAAAAACAAAACAAAACAAAAGATTAGAATGTGCGGATGCCACTTCCCATTTCAAATGCGTGTGAGTGTCACTTGGGTGTAAGCTCCACAGGACTAGGATTATTTGTTTCAGTCACCGCTGTACTTCTAGTACCTAAAACTGTGCCTGGCCCATCAGGCAGTGAGTGATGGCTGATCTGGCAACGAGGACAATGGTTTCCTTTCTGTCTTTGCAGGTCGCTATGCACTGGTGGTCTGTGGAGACATTGCAGTGTACCCCAATGGTAACGCGCGCCCCACAGGGGGCGCTGGAGCTGTGGCCATGCTGATTGGGCCAAATGCCCCACTAGCTCTGGAGCAAGGTTTGTAGTAAACTAAGACCAAGAGGCTGCATGCACAGTATAACCAAACATAGATGTGAATCCCCAGTTGCATACTAAACCAACATACAAACCAAGCCAGGCTTGGTGGTATACTCCTCTTGTCCCAGCACTTGGGAGGCTGAGGCAGGAAGATGGCCATGTGGCCAGGCCAGCCTGGGCTATGCAGTGAGTTCTGAGCCTGGAATACATACCAAGACCTTGTCTCAAAACCAAACTAAACCAAACCAAACAGCACAGTGCAGTCAGGGTGGGCTTGAGGATGCTGTCACTGGCCTCCTAAAAGGTATTCTCTTGAGCGGAGGGCAAGTCCAGAGGAAAGGGAGTGAGCAAGGGCTCCTTATTGGAATAATGGTGCATACAGTGAGTAGTAGAGACACAAATAAGAAACTAAGGGAATTAAAAGGGCATTTGATGCAGAAATAAACCTAGTGTAGAGTGAGTCTTTCTCTTGAGGATTTGGGATCTGTTTCAGATTTTTCTAAGTCTGCATGAGTGCAGAAAGTGTAATACAAGCCTCCACTGTGCAATGCTACCAACTACTCCTCTCCTTTCAAATAGATGAGAGGCGAGGACTAGGCTCCAGTTTGGGCATAGGAGACAGGCAGAATTCAGAAGCTCCTTCCCTGGCTCGCCCAGCCCTTCTGCTGGAGCAGGGCTGCCTTCTGGGGTCCCTGGAACCCTCTCTGTGCTTTTCTCTCAGGACTTAGAGGAACCCACATGGAGAATGCCTATGACTTCTACAAACCGAATTTGGCCTCCGAGTACCCGTTGGTGGATGGCAAGCTCTCCATTCAGTGTTACCTGCGGGCCTTGGATAGATGCTACGCATCATACCGCCGAAAAATCCAGAATCAGTGGAAGCAAGGTATAGGATTTGGAGGGCAAACGGTGGGGCTCTATTTACGTGGACATGATCTCTTTCTCCTTCCCTGAAAACAATGTCAAGAAAATTGCTTCATATCTTTTCTCATGCTCTTCCTTGGGTTGATACTAAAATGCAGTTCAATTTCATTTAAATTCAAATATAAAATTGTGGGCTGGGGAGATAGCTCAGTGGCCTAAGTGCCTGACTAGCAAGTGCAAGGACCCGGGTTTGATCCCCTGTACCACCTGCTGTGGCAGCCCCGGAACCCTGGGTGCAGTGTGCTGGCTGCTGAAGCTGGGTGTGGGGGCACATGCCTATAACCCCAGTGCGGGAAGGTTGAGACAGGAGGATCACTATGAGTCTAAGCTGCATAGAAAGACCCTGTACCAAATACATAAAATTTAAAAAATAATAATTCAAATATAAAATTGCCTATAATGTGAGCTAAATTTAATAAATCAACAATTCAGGGAAAAAGCCACAGGTGTGAAACCTGAAGATGTCCCTACCTGGGGTGACACTGTTTTGAGGCAGAGTGACCATATCCTGCTGAGGCTTGGATTTGCTTCTGTTGAAGTGAGGCACAGTTGGATTCTTGGTTTGTCTGCCTGATATGGAAAGTCTTATGAATGTTTTCTGAATAGTGAAGTATGTGATTTTCTCTGGCTGGTGATGTTAGAGGTTGATTTTATTTTCACATTTACTTTTTGAATTTCCCTGCTACAAAATAGATGCCACTTTTATAATCAAGAAGAAGAAAATAAATATTATTTTAAAATACAGAGAAAGGCCTTTTAAGGATAACCCTACTGGCTTAGTCATCTTGGCCTAGATGGGCATCAGCAAAAGGCAGCTTTGATTGTAAGAAAGGACACGTGCTGGAGCATCAGACCTAGGGACCCTCAGCACACTTAGTCCTCAGACGGGAGGTCAGTGTGGTTTACCATCATTCACCTCCTTGCTTTCACGCTTCCCTTTCCAGATGGCATCGACCGGCCTTTCACCCTTGATGATATACAGTATATGATCTTTCACACACCCTTTTGCAAGATGGTTCAGAAATCTCTGGCACGCCTGGTGCTCAGTGACTTCCTGTCATCCAGCAGTGACACACAGAACAACTCGTATAAGGACCTGGAGGCCTTCAGGTAAGTCCTCCTTATGGGGAGCCTTGAGGCTCATGAGGGGTAAATAATGAAGCTGTAAGCCTGAGTCACCAGCACCCCTGGATCACCAGCATCCCTGAGCAGAGCAAATAACCCTCCAGTCCATCTGGAGGTGGGACTAGTCTGTACGGGGCTTTCCATGCGTCCTCCAAGGGGAGCTTGGGAGGGAGTTTGCCAGCACCTCTGGATCAAGCGACCATGAAAACCAGCAGTCATACTACAAACTCATGGTGTACTGAAATAAGTGTACCCTGTGCCCCCTGGCCTAGAAGATGTCACAGTCTACACAGGCACGTAGAAGCGAGGCAGTGCAGGGTGACTATGTGTGAGCATCGCTGAGCATTTTCACCCACTTTTGTTTGGGGGCCTCAATTTTTCCCATCTATAAAATGAACATAATGCTGCTCACCTCCCAAGTTGTCAAACAGTAAGAAGGCTGTCTGTTGGCAAGAAGGCAATTAGGAAAGAAGAATCTGGAACTCTCACTGAGCAGGAAACCCTTCCCATTCTTCTTGGTAGCTATTTATTTCAAAATTTGGAGAACAACTTCCTCTACCACTACTAATCCTGACATTAGACATGAAAGTTAGGCCCTCCATCAAGACAAAAAATACAACAGAAAGTGGCCAATATCTTTAATAAACAAGAGTTTATCAGTACTAACTAAATACTTTAAAGGAAAAATAAACAAGGGATACTGATCAGAAAGTCCTGAAAGAAGAAATGCATATAATCTCATATAAAAATGTATATACTCATTAGCTTAAAAAACTAAGCAAGTCACCATTGTCTTTACTTATTTTTTAAAGTTTTGAATGCCTAGAACTGACAAAGCTGTGGGCAAACGGGCAATAGCAAATGTGCAAATTGAGCAAATGTTTTGAGGAGTATGGGAACATGAAGCACCAAGCTTTAAGATAGACATGTCTTTCAGCTTACTAATTCTACACGCTTGACAGAACACTTAGCTCCTCCCTGTAATATTTTAACAAGTGATGAACAGAAGCAGAAGGATTGGTTCAGGTATGATACGTCTTGTTATGAGCCATTTTTCAGCCTTTAAAAATAATGTTATATGGGGGCCAGTGATATAGCTCAGTGGTCTAAAGCACCTGCTCAGGCAAGCTTAGGCAGGCACAGGGGACTGTGGTTCAAGCCCCAGCACCACATGCTGGACAAAAGAAAAAAAAATGTTGTATGGCTTGGAGGTGTAGTTTAGTGTGCTTAACATGAACAATGCCCTGGGTCCAATCCTCAGCTCCAAAATAATAATAATAATAATAATAATAATAATAATAATATAATAATGTGATGTATTTAATATATAATATGCATTATGTATATTATTTATGACTCTGTTTCCTTCTTTGTAAAATTGAGAAAAATGATACAACATAAGGCGCAAGGCTGTTCTAGAGATTTTTCTTTGTCTGTAATCCCAGCCTTTGCAAGGCTGGGGTAGGACAGTGAGTTTGAGGCCAGTCAGGGCTACATGATGAGATCTGGGTTCAGACTCAAGGCTGGGAAGACACACGGAACAGAATGCCTAGTGTGACTTCAGTTCTGATTTTCTAGTGAACTGTGTGAAAGCAGAGATGGGTTCCACGAGGAACGTAGAGCCCAACTGCGGTCTCTGCATGGCAGGACTACTGACAGCATGCTTCCTCTGTGTATTTCTGGATTTTTAAATATTATGGGCCAAATAAGTGCATGAAAAAATTCTCAACATCAACTGGACATCAGAGAAATGCAAGTTAAAACTATATCTAAATACCATCTTACCCCAGAAAGAATTGTTATCATTAGAAAAACTAATAACAACAAACATTGGCAAGGATGTGGGGGAAGGAGTCCTTCTATATTGTTGATAAGAATGTAAACCAGTAAACCATTATGGAAATCAGCGTGTGGATTCATAAAAAACTAAAAATGAGAATTCCATTTGACCCGGCTATCCACTTTCTAGGCATGTTCCCCTAAGAGCTAAACTCAGCATGTTTCAGGGATGCACACATACCCATGATTATAGCAGCACAATGTATAATATCTAGATCTTGGAAACAGAGTATATGTCCATCAACAGATGAACAGGTAAGGAAAATGTGTTATTTATACATGATGGAATACTACACTGTCATAAAAAATAAACTTGAAGATTTATAGGTAAATGAATATCACTTGAGAGCATAATGAATCAGACACCGAAGCTCAAATATTGCATGATTTCTTTTATATGAAAAACACAAAGAATAAAACAAAAGAGAGGATACATAGGAAAATGGGAGAAATCCAAATACATCCCCAAACTGAAAATTCCATTCATTTAAAAATATTTCAATGTATATGTTAACTGGTTTTATTTATGTTACTAGTTTATGTTAGTTCACTGAAAGGAAAGATTTGTGTTTATTTCTTTTTGTTTTGGTTTATGTTTTTTACTCTAAGTAAGTACTTTGAAGATAAAGATACAGTGTAAGGCTGGGGTATGGCTCAGTGGCATAAGTGCTTTGCCTGGCAAGCTCAAGGTCCTGAGTTCTATTCCTGGTTTGAAAAAAAAAAATCAGTGTAATAAGTAGTGCTATTCTTTTATTATCTGATTATGAAACTTTTTTATAAAATAAAAATTTTACCAAAACCAAAAATACTGTAGGCCAGGCATTGTGGTGCATGCCTGTAATCCCAGCTCTTGGGAGGCCAAGGTGGGAGGATTGCTTAGGTCATGGTTATTCTGAGCTGCTTAGTGAGTTCAAGGCTGACCAGCACTACATAGAGAGAGCTTGTCTCACAAATCCAAAAGCTTACACAAATGCTGAAAATGCGTGTCCCAAAGCTTCGAGTTCAGAAGCGGCTCTTTCCCACTTGCTCCCTCCTCCCCACCTGGTCACCTCTTGCTGCCTCCCAGGAACCTAAAGCTGGAAGAAACCTACACCAACAAGGACGTGGACAAAGCCCTTCTGAAAGCCTCCCTGGACATGTTCAACAAGAAGACCAGGGCCTCCCTCTACCTCTCCACGCACAACGGGAACATGTACACCTCGTCCCTGTACGGCTGTCTGGCCTCGTTGCTGGCACAGTGAGTCCTGCCCCTCCCCCCGTTCCTTGTCCCCCATCCCATTAGTACTTGCTCTGGCGAGGAGCACTTCTTGTCCTTCGTCTTGCTCTTCTTCTTGTTCTTGTTCTTCTTCTTGTTCTTGTTGTTCTTGTTGTTCTTCTTGTTCTTGTTCTTGTTCTTGTTCTCGTTGTTGTTGTTGTTGTTGTTGTTGTTGTTGTTGTTGTTGTTGTTGTTCTTCTTCTTCTTCTTCTTCTTCTTCTTCTTCTTCTTCTTCTTCTTCTTCTTCGCCTTCTCCTTCTCCTCCTTTCTTGTTGTTGTTGTTGTTCTCCTCCTCCTCCTCCTCCTCTTCCTCCTCCTCCTTCTTCTCCTTCTCCTTATCTCCCTCCCCTCCTCCTCCTCCTTTTTTTTTTTTTTGGTCTGGCACCAGGCACTGATGCCACTGAGCTGTATCTCGGGTCTGGCGAGGCACACCTCTAAAACAATGAGAGAAACAGAAGAAGAGGGATGAAGGGAAGGAATAAAGGAATAAGATGAAAGGAGTTTGTCTTAAAGTGTATACAGGGGCAGTTTACCATCTGTGCCAAACAGGGGCCTTGAAAGCCCAGTGCAGTATAGCTGGGATGTACACGCACCTGGGTGCAGCACAAAAGGAGAACTTGGTGCACATTTTTGTCTCATCTACTGAAAATTCCTATACTTAATAGAACATGCTGGCTAAGAACATCTAGCTTAGTCAGGGGTGTCGGATCACACCTGTAATTCCAGGACTTTGGGAAGCTGAGGCAACAAAATTGCAAATTCAAGACCAGCCTGGGCAACTTAGTGAGACCCTGTTTTGAAGTAAAAAATAAAAATGGACTGAAGGCATAGTTAGTGGGGGAGCCCTGGGTGCAATCCAGTGCTACCAGAAAGGAAGGAAGGAAGAGAGAGAAGGAGGGAGGGAGGAAGGAGGGAGGAAGGAAGGAAGGAGGGAGGAAGAAAAGAAGGGAAGAAGGAAGAGAGGGAGGGAGGAAGGGAGGGAGGAAGAAGGAAGAAGGAAGGAAAGAAGGGAAAAAAGAAGGAAGGGAGGAAGAGAGGGAGGAAGGAGGGAGGAAGGAAGGAAGGAGGGAGGAAGAAAAGAAGGGAAGAAGGAAGAAGGAAGGGAGGGAGGAAGGAAGGGAGGGAGGGAAGAAGGAAGAAAGAAGGAAAGAAGGGAAAGAAGGAAGGGAGGAAGGGAGGGAGGAAGGAAGGAAAAAGTCTAGTCTTAGAGTCCACATCCTAGGTTGAAGTCTGTTTACCATTAGCTTTGATCTTGGAAAATCTCAACCTGGGCTGGGTGCAGTGAAATGTCCTTACTACCCAGCTACTTGAGCATCTGTGACAGAAAGGTATCTTAAGCCCAGGAGATGCTTGGGCAACATCAAGATGCTGTTTCAAACAACAAAAACAAATGAATAAGTCAAAACAAATGGCATGCTTGTGCCTCACTTCCTCCATCTGTAAAATGTGTACCATAACAGTCCCTGCTTTCCACATATTGGTGAGCATTGAATGTCTAAAAATATAAAAACCACAGTGCTCAGCAGGGTAGCTCTTATTCACTTTCTGTTTTGTGGGGTTTATAAAGGAATAGTGCATATAACTTAGGAAGGAATCCTCATGAGTGAATTTGATCAAATTATTATGAATGTTGGGTGGTGATCAAAATGCTAAATGATCACACAGCCGCTGGGGAGCCTGGGGTGCACCTCCACGTGGCCACAAGTCCCTGAATCCTTCCTGCTCTCTAAAGTGGAGCTTCATTAATACCCCAAATCCTGTTGCGCTCTTTATGCCTTGTATGTTCTGAGCTTAGGCTACCTTCTTTGGGCAAGGTCTGCCATTCCTAGGCTTGCCCCCAGTGTCCACCCAATGCTCCCCTTGGTGCAGAGCAGTTGGGGCACATTGCAAGTTGCAGGAGGCGGACAGGGACAAGCGTGGGCTGACTGTGTGTGCTTTAGTTCTGGTGCAGAATGTAATGCACGTGTGTTTTTGGTTTTCATTTCTTTCCTTACAGTCACTCTGCTCAAGACTTGGCTGGCTCCAGGATCGGTGCCTTCTCCTATGGCTCTGGCTTAGCAGCAAGTTTGTTTTCATTCCGAGTGTCCAAGGATGCTTCGCCTGGTGAGTCTCATCTTTCTGTCAGACCCATCTGACAAGAGTCACCAATGCAAGGACCATGTTCTGCCTTACCACTGCTGAGGCTGCCAGGCTCTAAGGGAGAGTGAGGAAAATCACTTCCAGGATTAAAATAGTGATTTGTGTAACATGAGCCCTTAAAGCCCACCCTTAGCCACTGCTTAAAGCCTAGCATAAAGAGGATCAAAGGTAGATATGGGGAAAATGCTTAGATACAACCACAGTCTAGGCAAGAGATAAGTGGCTTATTTATTACTTGTTTAAAGAGAAGTTGATGGAGTTGAGATAGCCAATAAGTGGTTTTGTTTTTATGATTGTCGTGAGTGGAGACACATTTCTAAGTGTGTATGAGTTACATCTTAGCAACTAAGTGTCTGTCTCTTTGTTTACTAACATTGATGTTTGCCTATCATTACTTGGTGTTTGGAACCACATGCTGAACACTTTTCCCCAGAGTGCCATCTGCCACAGAAGCTGGCCCTGGTGGCACCAGGGATAATGCAGTGAGGCAGCTCTGACTCGCTTGCTTTGGCTTCCCAGGGTCCCCACTGGAGAAGCTGGTATCTAGCGTATCAGACCTGCCAAAGCGTCTGGCCTCCCGGAAGCGTATGTCTCCTGAAGAATTCACAGAAGTAATGAACCAAAGAGAGCAATTCTACCACAAGGGTAAGGAAACAGGCAGGAAGAGAAGAGAAAGAAAAGTAATTCCTTTCAGATTTCATGGCAGTAGCTAGGAACCAGGGGTTCATCAGGAATCTAGCACGCGGTACATTGAAACATTTAGAACAAATTGATGCGAGAAAATCTCTTGTGAGACGGAGCAGAAGGCAGTGTTGGAAAGAGGTAGCATGGAGCTTCCCAGGGGACAATGTCATCCTGTGGAAGTTGGAAGTACAATATTTGAAAACTCTGTATAAATGTCGCGAGAACCCAAACTTGAAGCTTAAAATCTAAATCTGAATGAGTGGTGTCGCTTAGCAAAAATATTAAATTTTTCATCATTATCTCATTTGTAAAATACCAATGACAGGATTTCCAAAGAGATTAAGTGAATGAATGTACTTAAAGAAGTTGTCAATGAAGATTGATGTCTCCTCCCAATGGATCCCTTTCTCTGTCAAACATAAAAAACAAAACAGTGCTCAAAAATTAACAAATGAAACAAAAACCAAAGGGAGGCCTGGAGGGACCAGATGGGTTTCAAGCCATGGTGACTCTGTGGTTTGCCGAGTGGCTTGAAGGGGAGAAAGAATAATGGAGTTAGGAATATTCCAGATGACTCAGGTCATTGATTGCATCAGGACCAGATGTTAGAGCAAACGACAACAGCAAGAATAAAAAATAGCACCTCTGCTGGTCTTTTGAAAGAAGCAGTTAATGCTTAATTTTTTTTTAACTCTGATTTTTTTTCCTCTTTCTTATAACTTCTTTGTTGTTGTTTCATGGGTATTTTTTTTAAATGAATCTTACACATTTACATCTGGTAATGTGAATGTACAACTAAGTTGAAGATAGCATCATGTAATATCATTGCTGAATTCCTATTACTTTATTTAGTGAAATCTTGTATTGTTTCTAACACTGTTTCTTTCTTTATATCTCTATTTTGTATTCTTTAAAAATAAAAAAAATAGGTCCTCTGGGATGAACATTAATGTTCAAAGCATGATGGTGAGGCAATAATTCAGAACCAAAGATGGTAAGACTAAGAAGGAAGTGTAACAGTGAAAAGGAAGTCCTGGGGCATACCTCACCCCATGCACATGGGCCAAAGCACGTGTGAAGAGTTCATGGATGAAGCGAATGTCAACTATAGGAAAATGATACTTCTATGACACAATTTTTAATAAGTTAAGCGTTAGTGTCAGATCCAAGCTGGCTGCTCCTCTGCTTCTTCTGCAGGTTCAGTGTTTTGTCTAGGTCACTGAAGGAGGTCTAGCAGGCTCTGGCAGCCCCGCCGCAGGAGCTTCACCATGAATCTGTAGGAATTTCTATTGCTATCTTCTCTTCCCCAAACCCAGGTAACTTTTTGTGACTGTTATGTTTTTTCCTCATTGCACAGCAAACTTCTCACCACCTGGTGACACAAACAACCTCTTCCCGGGTACTTGGTACCTGGAGCGAGTAGATGAAATGCATCGCCGAAAGTATGCCCGGCGTCCCATCTAAACGTGGTGAGTGAGAGCTTCTAGGATCCAGCTCCTGCATGGCTTAAATCTCTGAGGTCTCCCTCAGTTCTGAGACTATAAGCAGGCCAGAGAGAGTCCACAGCTTCCAAAGTGATTGTAAGAGGGTATTTATATGAGAGGACAGAGCAAAGGCCTGGGGATCTCTTTGCTTATTTGGAAAGGCAAAGCTGGGAGATGATCATATCCTGAAATTTTCAATGCGGAGTAGAGTCAGACTTGTTTATCTGATCTGCTTAAGATAGGAAGCTCCCCTGGAGGGTTGAGAGAGGAGGAAGCAGGCAGTGACACTGAACCTGCATAAGTTGTTGCTCCAAGGGACAGTGACAAAGATGAGTAGCTTCCCCAAAGGTTCCTACCAGAGGATGAGGAACAGGGTCAAGAGGAAACAGGTGGTCATGGGCTCTGTTAGACCCAGAAGCCTCAACCAGAGGGACCTTTGGTGAGGGGCTATGCAACAATTGTGACATCACAAGATTCCGTCTGAGGATAAACAGGCTTGAGAGTAGGGTGAGGATGAGTGTAAGAAAGAAGAGAGTTTAATGGAAGAGTATTGGAGAGAGGGTAAAGAGAAGCATCCTTTAAGGTATTTCTTTAAGGAAAATCAAGCATTAAGAATAGTGGCCTTGGGCCAGTGAGATAGCTCAGCAGTCTAAAGTACCTGCTTAGACAAGCTTAGGAAGGTGCAGGGGACAACAGAGAGCAGTTTGATCCCTGGCACCACATGCCACATCAGCCCTACCTTCAGGGTGGGCTGAGCCTGCCAAAAAAAAAAAAAAAAAAAAAAAGAATGGTGGCCTTGTAGCTCCTGAACCCAAGTATCTACTTTAGTGTATCCACCAAATGAATAAACTGAAGAGTGAGAAGCAGTTTCTTCTATGGCATAAAACTGTCTGTGTAATCCCAAGTTTCAACTTTTTGGCTCCTATGGAAAGTGAAGGGAAATGACTATAAAGGTCAGCCAAGGGCAAGGCGCAGAACAGGGGCAAAGAGGAAGAAGTCTTATGTCCTTTTCTCATTGCTGAGAAAAAACAGTGGGCCCTTGACTTACGAACTGCCTTCCCGAGGTCTGGTTGAAACTCAAGTTGTTGGTGGAAGGCTCAGGCTCCTCCACACGGTCTTCAGTCTACTGTACACAGGCAGACCTCAGTGTCCTTAGAAGGATATTGGCCCAGGAGTCCTCAGTTAACTCCTCACAGGAAAAGACATTGGAATGTTCCTTTCAGAACTCTTTAAGGGTTAAATCTGTACAGTGACCATCCGGAAACACAAGTGCTGGCAGTCAGGCCATCAAGAATTTGTAAGTTAAAACTAAAATTCCAGTCATAATCCAAGTCATCTGTATGTCAGGCTGGTCATAACTTGAGGGTCCACCGTACCTGACACACCCAAAGTTAGATGAGGAGAGGTCTATTTTGCTCGCTGTAGAGGCCTTGGTCCACAATCAGCTGGCTCCAAGGCTGGGTAGTGTGGCAGACACGCATTGCAGAGGAAAAACTGTGTACGGCAGGCAGAAAGCGGAAAAACAGGAAGGGATGACCATAACTCTTTCTATCCTTTTTTGTGGGGAGATACTTGGGACCTTGTACTTGTCAGGCAGGTGCTTATGCCACTGAGCTACCTCCCCAGCCTTCTATTCTTCATATCTTATCCAGGCTACTTAGGCCAGGTAACACTCACACTTGGTTCTAGTGCCCTTGAGCCTAGCATTGCACCATAAATCAATTCCAGCATCACACACACCTTAACACCCAGCCACCTCTGAAAAAGCCCTACCTATGACTGCATGAGGTTTTGGGAAACATCTAAACACAAGCTGTGACATCCATGAATAAGGAAATAGTCAAGCCTCACAGGAGGAGGCAGTTAAAGCTAAACAGGTGCCCATCCTTTCCCTGTAGCTAGTGGGACGTTCTCAATTGCTCAGCATCCTCTGATGGGATCCTGATGTGCTACTGCTGAGCTGTTAGGGGAAATGAAAGGTGGACATGGAGCTACTAGGCCAGGACTATAGGATGAGGTTAGCGACAAGGTCTATAACAGGCTTATAAGACTATGGAACTACCAGGGAGGTTGTTGGAAATGTGATCCTCAGGGCGAGGTTAAGGGCAAACAGAGGGCTAAATGTATCCAGCTAAGACCAGTTAGAGAGAGAGAGAGAGAGAGAGAGAGAGAGAGAGAGAGAGAGAGACAGAGAGAGACAGAGAGAGACAGAGAGAGACAGAGAGAGACAG